GGCACTTTCTCCGACTTGGATTTCACCTGGCTGCTGCTGCTACTACTACTATGGCTGCAGTTGGAAGAATGAACGTGGTGCTGACCACCACCTTGGTGGTGGTGTTGTTGGTGGAGGGGTTTGCTCTCCCGGTTGTTCACGTTGATCGCGATGTGCCCGCTGCTGCTGCCATTGGCGGCGTGGTGTGGGATCTGGGGGGTGTCGCCGTTCTGGAGGGTGGTCGTTGTGTTATGTCGAGACATGTGCATCATTCCGATCCCTTCTTGGGATGAGTCCTCAACGAACTCCACATCGGTGTTGTACCCCGAGACCAAGAAGTCCAAGCAGTTCTTTCTGCATCCGTGGTCGTATGGGTTCCTGAACCGGCCGCTGGGGCCTCTCAGGTAGCTGTACCGCATTGCATTCGCCATCTCGTTGGTTGTTATGTTGCGGGATATCTGTGGTGGAGAAGGATATCATGAGAGATACAGCGGACCATGGCTTAACCCCCTACAACAGGCGAAGAATGGCACGAGAATTAGGCGAAGCGGAAACTTACCTGAGAGGCTTGGACGACGGTTAGAACAGCTACACCGAAGAAGAGGAAGAAGTCGACCATCAGGAAAGATATGGCGCCAGTGTGATGAGTGCCTGCATAGTTTAACCAGCCTCCGAATGTTGAAGGAGCTATTTGATCGGTAACAATCCCTGAAAGGCGGTGCAGAAGATCCATCATAAATGGAAGAAAACGAACAGGGCAAAACAGGGTGCCTCGAAAGTTATAATCTTGGAAGGGGAATAAGTTGCATACTCGTGAGAGCCACGCCACCAGTTATCAGCATTGCGGAGACTTCCAAAACAAGAAACAAGAAGAAATCCCACTTGTTTTTCTGCAGCAGGATAAATGAACTTGATGTATCCACATATATTTAATAGAATATATGAAGCAATGATGGTCAGTTGGTCACACACCTTGCCTATGCAATTTGATACCCACGGGCAATGGTGGTCAAATTGTTCGACGCAACGATCACATGTGGAACAGTGCTTTGCACGAAGAGGTCTTACAATCTGGTATATAAGATGAGATTGGAGACGAGAAAATTACGAAATGTTAAGCCTCAACCATAAGGCATATTTCCATCAGATGAATTAGAAGTCGTGTGATAACTCTACCTTGCACGTTGCGCAAAGCTGAGACCAATTCCCAGAAAGCAAAGCAGGATTGTTGATCTCTATCTTCAAAAGAGGCTCCTAATAGAAAGAATTATGCAGATATCATGAGGTCAGTAGTCAGCAAACGAACAATGCTGGGACTCTGAGAAAGGTAAAGCTGCCAAAGATTCTATACAGGACCCAAATTAAGGAATCCGTTGAAGTCAAACTTATATGGACAGATAGAAGTTCCATCTGACTTCTGCTTGCTATTCCTCCCACTCACCTTCTATAGGTGGGGGAGATGACTGTTTAAGCAATGGCAGCGGATAAAAGCACTAGACATGCTGAATCTACAAATGATGGAACTTACATCATCTTTCATATTTTGTGGATCATGCACATTCATTCTTACGTATCCAGGATCCTTCCTGCAATCAAGAACGAGAAGAGAATAGACACAACAGCTTACACAATCAAATGCAAGGTGATGTAGTAATCTAGCCAACTAAAGAAATCAATTTTGTAAGTTCGTTTCTAGGTATAAAATATCCATGTCTTAAGGATTTGATTCCTTGCTCATTCATCATTTGAGCTACTGATTTGGCTTCTATGCCATATCCTTTGTCTAGTTTATAAGCATTGGAAACATCAAGAACCACAATGGATAACTGGATGACATACACATGAGTCTGTTTCACGAGAACTTCTGAAACCTACCTGCTACACCTGTAAAACGTCACAAGCCCACTGGTTGCAAGAAATACCCCAAGCCATGCAAATAGGCCAAAGCCAGGTGTTACCCTGGGCAGATTTGGAGCTGAAATTATAAAAAGAAACCATCAAATACAGTGTGCTAAGTGGAAATCCTCAAAGGAGTACAAAAACTCAGACAAAGAGGTTATGGAGAATACCCATGATGACAGAATGGATATAGATGATCAGAAGAATAATTATTATACACCAAAGAACTGGAGCAAGGCCCAACTTCGACAGACGTCCCAAGTGGGTGGCGCCATCACAACGTTTATCAAGAAGCCTTCTAGCATTGCCCTGCAGAACCAGGTCATTTAGATATAAACTGGCGGGAACATATTTTAAGGCTTCTTTTCAGAATTTCTTAAGAAACATCCAAAAGGAGATGAAGTGAAACTGTGAAAGTAGAAGTAGAACATAACCACAGCAGCCTATTAAGAAAAGTTTAGTAACATCTTACACAAAAATCTAAAATGTAAAGAGAAATGGGGATATATGTCATCCAGTTAACACCAGTAACCAAATAATGGAGGTGAAGTAGTAGAAGGAACACCTACAAGGAAAAATGCAACTTGTCTGTGGTTCTTATCAGAAGCAAGTTGAGCTGGAGTCAGCCCCGTGTTATCTGTGATTACCAAGTCCTCCTTCTTGCCAGCTTGTACCAACACTGTGCATGCCTCCAAGTTACCCCTAATTGCAGCCCAGTGAAGGGGTGTGCAACCTGATGTGATAAAAATCAGGATTTTAGTCTAGTTGCTTCATTAAGATGACTCGAGTAACATATAAAAGCAAGTGGGCAGTAATAAATTGCTACATTACCCTCTTTATCTTGCCGTCCCCTATATGCATCCAGAAATAACAACAGGCGTATACAATCGGCAAAACCCTTATAAGCAGCCCTGTATGTTGCCAATAAAAGTAAACACATTGTGGTGGTTCAGTAACTACTCAATTCATGAACCAAAATAGATAATTGTCAAAATAACCCAAAATTATTATCACAAAAAGATCTTAATCAAGCAGCTCCCAGATGAAGTAGAACGTCAAAAAATGAGTAATGAAAAAGACTTGTAAAAATGGGGCAAATCCATGGGTTCAGTTCACTAAGGAAAATAAGAAATAAACCAAGATTGGCTGCTGTAACTAGCCTAAGTTCGTGCCCTGAATACAAATCGAGATTCCATCTAGAAGCGTGTACCGGGTTCTGGAATTCATTAACTAATTTGGTGCAAGGATGCAGTAATATTTGAGAATAAGTAACAAACCAATTTATAGAGCTTGGAGATTTTATAGCCTTCTCCAAATATGACCAGGGGATGAATCTGTATAGCCTTACCAGTGCAAGGGGCTTCTTCCATCATTATCTGGAAGATCAGGGTCTGCATTCCATTTTGAGACGACATGATACAAGAAAGCTGTCTGACCATACTGAGCTGCAACATGTGTAGTCTGAAAGCAAGTAAAATTTCCACTAGTCGTCATCTTCAAGACACAAAGCCATATAACAACATGAACAAAATCATACTACCACTGGTCTTATCTTAGTTAGACTATACCAATGGAAACACGTTTTCTGCTTCAGTTATCTTTCAGAAACATTACAAGATATCCTTTTTTGATCTGTATTACAAGATATCTTAATCAAAGAATAATTACCACCTAATATAATAATGGAATAAACACTAACCTGATAACCGTACATGTCAGCTGCATTCACCCGAGCACCCTCTTGAAGTAAAAGTTCGGCAACTTGGATTGCACCTCGAACTGCACTCCAATGTAGTGCTGTCTGACCCGTGTGATCTGCTGCATTTACATCTCCTCCATGCTGGCAATCAAATGATTCATACTACTCAGGGCACGTATAATCTATGAATTGAGCTAACTTCTTAGCAGAAGACAACCAACACCACCTACTTTCTAGTTCCAGAATGCAAAGTATAAGCACAAAAAAGCTCTATCCATCCAATTTCTTCTCTAAACTCTGCCATTCCTAAAGGGCTACAACACACCAATTGAAACTAGATTGACCACTCTCTAGACAGACCCGAAACATCAAAATGAAGCGGAAAGGAAACAAAAGACTCCATCAAATAAAAAAGGAAATCCAATCCTCCCAACCTCGATTATGTACTGAGCAGCAGCAGTCCGATTATTCAAAGCAGCCCACTGCAGCGCATAGTATCCAAGCCCGTCGGGCTCCGAGACGGAGCAACCCTCACTCTCCACCAATCTCTGGAGCTTCTCCAAATCCCCATACGCGGCCGCGGTGTAAACGTCGTTCCTGAGGCTCTCGTCGCCGACAGCATCCTCGCCGCCGTTGGCAGAAGCAGCAATCCCGTTGCTTCCCCCGTGATCCCCGGAATGAACAACCTCCTCCTCCACCACTTCGATCTCCGACGACATTGTTTCCTCCTTCCCCCTCCTCGATCTGGGATTGAATTGGTTGGAGTTATCGAACGACAAGGAAGGTGGAATTGCCGAGGGATTTGGGGGAAACAGAAATTAGGGCTCCTTCTTCTTCTTCGTCCCCCGGGAGAGAGAAAGAGAGAGGAGAGGTGGGTTGGAGGAAAGCTTTGGGCTTGCTGGCTGGCTGGCTCGGTTTAGCCCTCCCCGTGTTGACTGGAATGGAATGGGCGATGAAGAAGAAGAAGCCTTAACAGAATTCAGAAAAAACGATTGACATTGAAATTTCCAATTTTCCTGCAACAAAACAAATTCTTTGTCTGCAGAAAAATAAATTCAGATTACATCCTACTCTTTTCATTGTCTTACCGTTACATCCTCTTAACTTTTAAGTATAACAAAAGAGGTCCTCAGAATCAGATTATTCCTGCCTCACCCATTGTTGACTGGCTCTCCATTCGTCATTTCTCTCGGTTTTGGCGCTTCTTCTTCTTCTTCTTCCTCTTTCAGTTCCTTCTCTTAAATCCGATCATTCTGTTGCGGTGAAGTTCCTTTGAAGCCAAGAGAGAAGCTCTCTAGTCAATCCTCCCTCTCGGGTAAGCTCAATCTTCATCTCCAGTTCTCAGTGTCTTCTTGTTTCTGTGGTGCATTGTCCCTTGAAAAGGAATTGTCTTTCTTTATTCGGGGTTAGGGTTCTTGATGCTTCGTTCATTCCTCCACTGAACTTGTTCATTTTCCCTGGAGTAATCAGTGAGTGCTTCCTCTTGTCGCCATTGAGGCATCCCCTTCTCTCATTCTGCATAGGATTCTTAGCTTGTTTGTTGGGCATTCAAACTTCCGCTGAACTTAGCTTAGGTAGAATGAATGTTACTGGAGGAAAAAACATTTTGAGTGTGATAATTCGGTCGGGGTTCATTGGGAGACTCAGCTTCAGCTAGTATTTCAAGTCGTGAATCTTGTTGGAGCCTCTTCGGAGGTAGGAGTTTCTGTGAATCAGTAGCAGCGAAAAGCACCTTATGAGCCAGTATGGTGACGGTAGGATTGAAAGTTGTCAGGTTTCCCTTGTTTATCGAATAGTTCTGTTAGTACGATAGTTGTTCGCTTTGGGTCAATCCCGCATTGATTTACTTTAATGGTTCTGATTTTGTCGAGGTTGTAGCCGACGTCGAGGGTGAGCTTGGTGAGTTAGCTGCTTGAGTTTTTGGGACTGACCCCGTTCAGGGCCACACTGTTGGGTTACTAGCTGCCCTGAATGGACCAGGCTGCCTTAGCGGAGGTGAAGTTGCTCTTGAGACGGGAGCAAGAGAGAGTTGTGGAGGCGAGAGAGTCCCTTGCTCGAGAGAGAGCTCGTGCTCGCCGGTTGGAGCACCAAGTGGCGCGACATGGTAATAGGGCAGCCCATTTGGTGGCTAGAAAAGTCCTCGCTTTGTGCCCGATTATGAATCGTTTGTTTGACTTTCGAGCCTGATTAGGATCCAGTATGTAACTAGTTTTTTTTAATTAATATATGATTATCTTTTATAAAAAAAAAGGGCAATGTCTATTTTTTACCCAAACCTTTTTCAGATTCTTTTATTTTAACCAAACCTATTGAATTCCTAAAAATTATCCAAACGTTAACTCTCCGTCAACTTTTCTGTTAGTAATGCTGACTAAGTATGACCATAATGAGTTGACTTCCTACGTGACGGTCAGAATACCATCATTTACTATTTTTAATAAAAAGATTATCAAAAAACAAAACAAAATCCCACCCCTCACGTGGACGAAATAAGTAACGGTAACAGAATGAATGCCCAGACTTTGATAAATTATAATACGTTTGGATAATAAATAGAATTTCTATAGGTTTAGTTAAAATAAAAGAATTTGAAAAAGGTTTGGGTAAAAAATAGACATTGCCCAAAAAAAAAACAATTATTATCAAACTAATAAAGGGGAAAAAGAAACGCCACATTTACTCCACCCCACCGTTTCCTCTTTCCCCCATTGATTCCACATTTCGGGTACAATTCATAGACCAGGAAACCGGATCGTACCGGACGGTTCAACCGGAAATTGGACTAAAAGCGATACGGTGGGCTTATTGTGCTGCTTTTACCTGGCCGGCCGGTTTTTTCGGTTTGACCGGTTGAACCGGCCGATATGATCCGGTTTCCTGGTCTATGATTCAGCTTCATTTCTCCGTATTTTCGTCCAATATGTGGAAAATAATTAAAAAGAATATTATTTTGCTATTTTTCTATGTTGAAAATGGGTCACCGTGGTTGTATAATGCTCTATTTGGTTCTTTTTTTGATGGATTATATTTTTTATACTATCGCATTTCATTTCTCTATCAATAGTGAAAAACGATATTTACCGGTACAAAATGGTTGAACCACGGTCGTACCACAAAATACCATACCAGAAAGGAATCCGGTATGATGTCCGGTACGGTTTCCTTTACCATGGTACAATTCCGGATCCCCGAACCCAACCAATCGCAACGGTAAAAAAAAGGTCCGGAAAAATATAGCTGGCTCTCTGCCGAATGCCGATAACTAGCTTTAATGTAGAAAAAGACAAATAAAAAAAAAAGCACCCGAATTCGGACCAAACCCTAACCCTAACCGGACCCAAGAAAACCCCAGTGAAAGGTCATCCTTTTCCACCACGCCCTCGTCTCGGCCCCGCTCTCCGCTCTCGCTCTTCCCCTGCTGCTGCTGCTCCTCCTCCCTCTCTCTACTTCGACAACTGAGCTCTCTCCCTCTTTGACTTTACTGTTTCTCTCTCTAGGATTTAGCTTTTATCCTTTCTTTGTCGCCAATCCCGTTCGTTTGGAAATACAGCCGCCGTCAATGGAGGTTTTGGGCAGTGTGAGCTCTGCGGAGAAGAGGGCCGAGTGGGTTTCCTCTGTTGTGGAAGCTATGGTGGTGGAAGCTGCCGTTGCTGCTGGAAAGGCTCTTGCTTGCCTGCTCTTTATGGTACGACTCATTGGATGGAGATAAACCCTTGTTCCTTTTTTTTACCCCCTCTCAATGTGTATATATTTGTGAGGTTTAGTGCTCTTCTGTACTTGTTGGTGGTGCTTTTTGCTATTTATTTTTGTGTGGTTGGTACTGATGTTCTCGTTTGTTGTGGCTGTGGTATTGTCTTTGGTGTTCTTTGTTGGTTGTTTGACTTGTGAATGGTGGAGGTAACTGCTTGTGGTTGATTTTTTTCACTGATCTGGTGAAAATTAGGGGGTTTTTTTTTTTTTTGCTGCTTTTATGTGTGTGACTGTGAATATACTTGCTGGTGTGCTTTTGGATTTGATGTGTTTGACTGTGGTCTGAGCTGTTTAGTGAGTTGTTACAGAGGCTACTCGGCACGAATGTAGTTGTGTTGTGTGTCAATAGGCGGCATTCTGTTTGTTATGAAGCTCCAGGATTTGTTGTAATGGTGATTCTGGCTGAGATATGGCTTACTTTATTGGTGGATTGGAGTGTACTTCATCGTTGCTGGTTGTTGTGCGGAATAGTTCTTATGAGCTTTGAAGATACTATGGATTGTATGATCTGAAGCTTGTTTGCTAGGATAGCATTAGCAGTGGTGTTAGTAGAATGTTTTGTCCACATTTGGGTGGTTTCCTCTTAAGATGCTTCCATAATTCATGTTCTAGGCTTTCCTGTTATGCTATTAGACAACCTACTTGGAAACTTGCCTTTTGCCTGTGGGTTTAAAAAGGAAGAAAAAGGTACCAACTTGCTGTTTCCAAAGAATGGTGATTGGTTACTGTTCCTTTTTTTTACTTAGTAGCGTACGCTTCGATTGTTTCGGTTTTTGGCAGAGTTTATCAGAACTAACTTCCTCTAAATATGTACTTGCTTTTGGGCGACATAGGGCATTCTTTCATCTATGGGATTCAGTGTCTCTGCTCCCACTTACGCCTGCCCCAATGCGGGGTTTTCTTCTCCCAGGATAGTGGAAGTTCATAGGATATGTACTTGCTTTTGGGCGACATAGGGCATTCTTTCATCTATGGGATTCAGTGTCTCTGCTCCCACTTACGCCTGCCCCAATGCGGGGTTTTCTTCTCCCAGGATAGTGGAAGTTCATAGTTCTGTTTCAACATCTTCTAGTAATTATCTGGTTTTTTATATACCTTTTAAACCTATAGACTTAGGTGTTTCTGGGTTAGGATAATTGTGGAAGATCATGAAATTGATGTCTTGTCAACATGAAGGCTAGGAAAAGTCATATTGCTTATTTCTTGGTAGAATCAATATCTTTATCTATTAGCTTTCCCTCTGTTGTCTATATCTTGATTCCAAGACTTAGTGCACTGTTATTTCATGTTACTGTGAGATAGTAGTGCTTATATGTGTGTTGTAGTTTCCATCTCTGGCAAGAGATGAGTATTTAGTTAATGCCACTTTAATTTCTCATCTTTCTCAGGCTGGATCACTGGTCGCTGAAGCTGAGGCATTGGCCAATCTGACTGCTGTAGAAGAGAGGTACACCCACCAGATATTTTCACATCTCTCCCGTCCATTGACAGTCTAAAGAATGTAAGCTGATGCATATGTTGCCTCATCTATGCAGGTTTCCTTTTAGCAAGCTTCACGAGAAGGAATGCTCCAACACAGAAGAAAACAAAGATGCCAGTGACACCGAGGACGATGGTGAAGATGACGAGGACGACAATGCAGAGGATGATGATGACGACGACGATGCTGGTGACGAGGATTTCGCGGGTGACGAAGGAGCAGACCCGGAAGACGACCCTGAAGCTAATGGCGCTGGAGACTCCGATGATGATGAGGAGGAGGCTGATGACGACGATGATGATGAGGATGATGATGATGCCGAGGATGACGACGATGATGATGAGGAAGATGAGGAGGAAGAAGATGATGATACTCCTCAGCAACCACCAGCGAAGAAGAGAAAATGACTCGAGGAGTGAGTTGGCAAACGCGAGGGAAAGAGAGGGACAGTATGCTGTTGTTTATTTTTACTTTCGGTTTGATCTTTCCCTCTGTCAAGAGTAGTTAGGTTTCCTAGGAGGAGGGAAGATTGAGTTCATGTCAGGGTCTGGATAGGGTTAGTAGAGCCTCCTTTCTTCATGGATCGTCGTTGATGACATGGTTATGGCTTCTGTTGGTGTGCTGCTGATGCTGATGCCCTTCTGTTGTTACAGATTGTTATTGTGGTGTATAATGTTTTCCTATGTTGTCTCTGTGTGATCTCTGATTCATTCTCCCCCTTCTCACAATAACTCTGACTTGCAACTGGAACTAACCTATCCTGAACTCAGCAACCTGTCCACCTGACTAACAAAGATATCCAGAATAATGAATTTTACCAAACCTGGCAAACCCGATTCAATCCATTCGTGACCGGATCATTTGACCAAACCAATTGAAGCCAAACCAATTGATCATAAACCGATTGATACACAACCCAATTTTACTCGTGATTTTAACCCGATTACAATTAATATAGTGCAATAACGAGTGGATTCACCAATTTGGCAGACACCTAGTATCCACATCAGAAATTGGAGAAATAAAGTAATTGAACTATTTTCAGAGGAGCATTTTTAATGGGTTTATGTTCGTAGTACGGGTGGTATTTGGTCGGTAGGCGGTTCAATCTATAATCTGTTAGCCAGTTAACACCATACTTAAACAAACACTTCCAGAGAAACTATTCCCGACATTTACTTAGCGTACTAATCATGTCTATATCCAACTTCAGAAAGCACTCGTCAAAGTTCATTTCCCAGAAGTACATTGCAGAACACTGTAAAGTGTAATAATAGCATTCGCAGGTGGCTGCAAATGGCCATGGATACCAAGAACTGGTTCAGCAGGGCAAGATAATTGAGATTCTGACGAAACAAAGACTGCAAATGTGGCTTTCTTCGATCAGAAAAATCCAGATCAAGACCGAACTAATCACGCTGGCAAGATTTCCACAGTGATCGAGATTGGCAGACCTACAAACAAAAAATTGGTACATAAGACATATGAGATACTCATACTGCAACTCTTTCATAGTTCGATCCAGTAATGAAGACCAAGAGATTAATATTTAGCTGCAAATCGATTCTATTCGCGAGTTTGTTATGGTCTTTCCAGAGATTAAACAGCCTGGTGTAATATCACAACTTCTATAGCATCTACAGACTACAGGCAAACAGATGAAATATAGCTTTACTAGTTAACATTGTTCTTCACTCAAACAAATCATACCATTCCAAATTCATAGCCAAAATTGAAAATTCAAGAGCTTTATCAGACAAAGTAACAAAACATGTTTCAGTACTCTGTGTTCTTCACTCAGACAATCTTACCACCACACCATTCCCAAATTCATAGGCGAAATTCGAGAGCTTTACAATAACTACTTACCCTTACGGCAGCTTCCCAGATCGGAAAACAGCAAACTTTGACATCTCAGAGTACTTGTAATCAACCCCATTCTCCTTCAGAAACCCTTCAAGCTCCTTCTTCACCCCTTCAGGATCCTCACTCTCGCACTCAATCTCATAGCTCACTCCAAATGCATACTTAGTCTCGTCCACTTCCAGCTTCATCCCTCTCCATTGGTAAACATCTCTCACATTCTCAAACCCGCCCAAGCAAACAAACCCCATCTCCTTCCCGTCGCCGAACTCATCCCTGCACCTTCTCACAATCCTCGAATCAATCGACCCCAGCTTCATCGGGTCGGCGGCACATGCCCGGCCCAGAACTGGGTCGATCTCCTCCTCGTCCTCCTCGACCCGACTCACCCCGTCTACCAAAACGGCCCTGGCCTTCAGCGAAACGACGCAGCGGGTGACGCCGTCGAGGAATCGGAGGCGGAGGACGGCGCGCTCGGATGCGAGGGCGGCGGCGGGGGTGTCGAAGAAGAGATTCTGCTGGTTGACGGTCTTGATGTGAAATTCGGAAATCAGGGATTTGAATTTGGAGTGTGCGGCGGCGTCCGGAAGCCCTAGCTTGACCTCCACTTCCATCGGTGAGATTTCAAGAGGAGGAGAGGCCGATGCGCTGGGATTTCGAGGGGGCGGCGGGGTTGTTGGTGGTGGTGCTGGATTGGGTGCGTTCGAGGAGTCGGACGAGAGCGTCGGCGGCGGAAGGGACGGCGACGACGGCGGCAGCTGCACGACTACGGGCTTCTTCGATCTCTTCTTTGTCTTCGATTGTCACCTCGATTTTCGTGGGTTTCCTTCTCAGCATATTGGCGATGGCTGCGGCGGGATGGAAGCTCTGTTTGGCATCCGGGAAAATTGGACAGAGGAACAGAATCAATCAATCCTGCAGATCAAGAAGTTGCGGCGAAAGAAAGACGACGACGACGGCCAATAGGTCGCTGGCTGTGAGCGGGCCTTAAACCTCCTGCTGAGCCCAAGCCATGGCCGAATCTGTCGGGCTGGCCCAATTTCCTTTTAGAATATTAAAAAATTTAAAAAGAGATTAATCAATTTCAACAACCAAGCAAGAGGTGGCAATAGTGATCCAATACAATTCATTCACTTAAAAATTCAAATAATTCAATTCATTTAAATAAATTTATTTAATTAAAACACAATTGGATTGGTGGATTCATGTAATGATCCATGGATTTAGATGACAAAATATGATTTAGTACCTATACTTTTATGTTTTACATTTTGGTACCTAAAATTTAAATTTTTAGACGAAAAATATAATTGGAAATTACGGTTTGATACCTTTTTTTTATTATGACATTTTAGTATTTAAACTTTTCAAAATTTACATAATAGTCTAAGGCTTGGATGTCATTTGGATTCATCGATCAATCCACTTGATCCAATCCATGAATCCACCAATCTATTTGATTCATAAGTGCACCAATCCAATCCATTTGCCACCTCTACTCTGGGCCTTCTTTCCGCTAGTATTAGATTTTGTTTTCAAATTCTGATCATATTAGAGTAGATCATCAACTGCTTCAAAAACCGTTGACAATGTCTTTTGAGACAACAACTGACTCTTAATGATTTCATAATCTGGATTTAAGAACATGATGAGATAGTCTGTTTATTGCCTTTCTGTGTAGGCTATTTGCAACATCAAATGGATGAGCGTTCACTAGAGCACATGTACAAGGAAATATAAGACCGAATTGCAGAAATTCCTCTCATTGTCCTTTGATCTGGTTATGGTACTGGTTTATGGAAAGATTTTCCTACTTGAACCTGTGGATTTCATCCTTCATATTAGTGGTTCATATAGCATTGGATTTTTCATACCTTCTCTTCAACTCATCCCACAACACAATAGTATTACAACCATCCCTGCGCAGGGCCGACCCTGTTGGGGAGTGTATCGAGAGTTTAGGGTTTCATCTTTAGTTTCTAAGTGTGAGAAGGGCTATCAGCCTCTACTGGTGCTCTGGCTATAGGTCCCGAGATGCATGTTGAAGTTAGGTTTATCGTCGAGTTAACTCATCAACCTTAGCTTATCACACATCCATTTGGTTTATTATCCAAACCACAATCTAACTTAATGGATGTAATTTCTTACCTAGCTAGATCAATCACTACTTAATTTACTAATCTTTCACTCAACCATTTCCCTTCATCTTAGGTCCAACCTTCTATATTTTCCCCACTTTTATCACCTCTAATTTTACTTCCATCCCCCGCTATTGACTCGCTCCAAACCCAAATCCACCATCAACTCTCAACCTCACAACAACTCCTCCATTCCATCCTCCTTCTCTTGCCTTACCCAAATATAAATAATAAGCAATTCCACACAAAACAATCACAAAACAAAAACAAAAACAAAAAAAAAAAATAATAATAATTACTAACCAATAATCTCACCATGTCATCATCACCATCATCATCACTAACCTCCTCCAACCTAACCATGCTCACGGCGGCTCTCCTCGCACTAACCCTCGCCACCATCGCGTCGGCCCACGTACCGCCGGCGCCGACCACCCCGACACCGGGAGCCCCGTCGCCACCGACAGACCCATCGCCGCCGGTGCCGACGGACGTGAACAGCCCGCCGTGCTGCGACGTGCTGAAGGGCGTCCCGGGCTGCCGGGAGCAGATCCACAAGACCTTCACGACCATCAGCGGCGGCGTGTCGGCCTCCAGGGAAGCCAGCGTGGACATCAGCGGCAGCTACGTGAAGCTGGGGTCCGCCTGCTGCCAGATCATCAACAGCGTCAGCGACGTGTGCTGGAAGATGATGTTCCCCAAATGCCCCGTGGCGCTCTTCTTCCGCGGCACGTGCTCCGTCTTCGGCGCCGACGAGCAGAAGCCCAGCCTGATGAACTCGGTGCAGTGCATCGGCGCGCTCCGGAAGATCCCGGGATGCATGAAGATGGTCAACGAGACCGCCTCGCTCCTGACCCGGTTCAGCGTCCAGGGGATGAAGGCGCACAAGGGGATGCGGACGGAGATCCTCGGGATGGGACAGACGTGCTGCCAGGCCGCCGGCGGGATCACCGACTCTTGCTGGCAGGAGATGTACCCCAAGTTCCCCGCCGTCCCGCGCCTCGTCAAGGGCGTGTGCTCCGTCGTGGACAGGACCGCCGCCGGCAAGGTGAAGGAGGCGATCAAGAATCATCGGGAGGAGAGGCTGCAGGGCCAGAAGAGCGGCGCCGCCGCCGCCGGCGGCAGCGTTCACATCGTCGGGGACGGCAACGTTAAGGAGGCGATATTGAATCATCGGGAGGAGAGGCTGCAGAAGATGAAGGACAGCGCCGGCAGCGCCGGCGGCGATGCTAAGTTGCCTGTTGCTCCTCCCGTGGCCTAGTGGAATGCATGCAAATTGGAGAGGGGAAGAAAATGAAAAGAACTCCAGCTGCGATCGGGAATAATGTTAAAAATAAGTAGATGAATATTGATCAAATGCAATCAACGATTCTACACGAAAATTTTGAATATTTTACTATAGAGCTATATAGCTTAATTATGAGTCAAATGTATAACGCCTACAAATAACGAAATTGAATTGAACATTTTTTTTTTTACTAAATTATATTTCATTACGACATGCTCTCTATCAAGAATTGAACATTTGAGATCAAGTGTTAAGTATGTTTTAGTTAAATTAAAAACAATCACGAAATTTCCATTCACTCCAATTCTAAGGGCCATTACCTTGTATGCTAACACTAACAAAGAACCTGCATAAACCCATCAAAAACAAACCTCCACTGGAACGATGCACGCGCACCATTTGATAGCATAAACTTGATTATGCCATAGAAATGAGCAAAACCCAAGCAAGCAACAAGACACA